TTTTTTTTGGAACCGAGTGGGGGGCGGGTTTGGATGTTTCGGCGGGCAAGTTTTGGCCCCCGAGCCGCCAGTTGATGATCGCTACTATATGGTATTTGGCTGCCCAGTAACAATCTAGCAGCCCATTATGTCCTATTCAAGCAGAAGACGTGCATTACGGTCATTCATAACCATCAAAAGCCACTAATACACATACGTGCACACACAGCACACCAGTCTCCTTTCCTGTCCCCCTGCTGATGGGTGTCATCCATCATACTCTCTGTCTGTTAGTAGTTCCATATGTTGAATGCCAACCACAGTGAATAGAGACAGCTGCGACATCAAGCCTGGACCTGCAGTGCTGGGACAACACCAGATCTCTGTCCAGCAGCTGCGGACAACCTGGTCCACCACTTGGGACCCCGACCTCTGCAAACTAATGCAGTGAAATCAGTGCCGCTGGATCAGGTGGACGAAAAGGTTTTCCAACGTTGTTGGCAAGAGCGAACAGAGAAACGTCAGCGCGTGAGATACAACAGTGCCGTGCGATATCCTGACAGAGAGTACAATCAGGAAACCAGTGATGCTTGCAGAGCCCCGGTGTCCTTTTTGACATCGAGCATAGCGTCCAGTGGCTGAGTGATGCCAGATGCTAACCAATTAACCTTTATGAAAGAGAATTAGGCTGCAATAACACTGCTCAACCTCAGCGGGCGGCGGGCCATGTGACAGGGATGTACGTGGTTTCAAATACTGTACACGTATGCATGTGCAAATTTTTTTTTTCGTTTTTTTTTTTTTTTACACAAGACAGAGACACCTTAAAATTCCAAGTCTATTTCCTTACGTGCAGTAAAAACTAAGCAAAATGGAGAAGCGAGACAAGGTCGCAGCACCAGAGTGCTGAGCTCTGTCCCACGTTTCTTTGTCTCATGGCTCCATGAACAAGAAGCTGTCGCAAGTGACCGTTATTTATAGGTTCATCCAGTTCTCAAATCAAAGTGCACTTTGCTTTCACTTCTCTGCGACCATGATTTCAGTCTACAGGACTGAATCTTGGTTAAAAGTGTGGACACGGCAGCATTTTTTCTTAAACCAATGTGTAACATTTATCTGTAAAATCTTGGGTTTATGATGATGAGGATGGTGAGGTGTTGATGTCTAGAGCTGGGCTTTGACCTTTTGACCTTTGACTTTTATTGTCTAGGACCTAAGTGAGTGAAATATTTATGCATATGCATAAGAGAATTGTCATGAAAATGATTTTACTATCCACCACTGTAATTTTAAATTGTGAAAAAAAATCTCTATATATCTTCTACTTTAGTTTAAAAATGTCTCCTTTTCCTTCAGATAATTATTTCTTTTATTTCTCCTCCGTTTTCTACCAGATCACATCCTGCTTCTTTGCCTCAAATTCTTTGAGCTAAAGTTTTTCTGAGTCAACTTTGAAAACAGAAATAAACAGATCAACAATTGCCAAAATGACTATAATTAAACCTCGACAAAGCTGCTCAGAGTGATGAGTCCAACACGTAACGACAAAGCTGCTCAGAGTGATGAGTCCGTAGAGCAACAAAGTAAGACTCTTTTTGACATTTTTAAAATCTGTCTTAGATCATTCCTTATTACTCATAAGTTTTTAACATTTTAACTTTTTTTTAAGACTCTTTTTGACATTTTTAAAATCATTCCTTATTACTCTTATAAGTTTTTAACATTTTAAGCTCAGCTTTCTGAGGGTCACGCTAATTGTGTTGGTGACTTTGTGTTTTTGCTGCAAGAAGACCAGATGGTAGGTGTGTTAAATATTTATCCTCTTGAACATACTAGCACAGCCCGCTGTTATCTCATACTTACTTATTTGCTAAAGTACTCCATACACCACAAAACAGGAAGGACAGGACACTATTTAAAAATACATATTTTTAAAGCTAGCTCCGAGATTTATGGTAGAGACAAACAAACAATGATAAATATACTGCATCTCCTGCTTCCTCCGCAATACTTTTCCTACATTATGCTAGGGTAAAGATAACAGAACTGTTGATCGATATTGCCTAAAATGTGTTACTTACCCCAACTTTAATGCAAATAAATCTGTGCGCTGGTGATAGGATAAAGTGGTGCGTGTATGAAGGACATTTAAAAGTTGTTACAAGTTCGTGAACGTGACTTTGTTGAAATGATGAATGCATTTGCTGCGGAAGCTCATCTTTCTAACAGAACCTTTGTATCGGGAGAACAAACTGAACAGTTCAAAATTTCAGGAAAAACAAAATATCGAAAAAACACCTGAGAAATTTCCCAGCCTTTCTTTTTAGATCTTTGTTCGTTTCCAAACCACAACAGATCGAATTTTGTTCAGGGTAATGAGTAAAAACGGGAAGAGACTGATAAACAATAAACATCAACTTCAACGCCAATCCCACGCTGAAGTGGTTCCAGGTATTAACTCGGTTGTGATCATAAATTGCCGCTGTAAAAGCGGAGCGAAGCGAGGGAAGTAAAAGCACAGTTTTTCACCTCTGTACTCAAACCTTTAAAAACATCATGCTGTGCAGTTTTTGTTTTGTTTTTTTTACTTCTCAGCAACAGCTAATGCAGTGTCTGTTTTCCAGTGGCTGAAACAGTTTCATTTCTCTGAGTGGCCTTGACTGAGGAATGAAATCTTAGGATACGACTGCCCAAAACCCACGCAGCTTTCTTCTAATTCATCCTGAAGTCGACTAATGTGTGTTCAGGTGCATGTGTGCTACTTGGCAAGACTCACCTCGACCAATGGCTGCAACAGTTCCGTTTGTTCTCCCCTGACGTCCAGTGCCACGGCCACTGAGGCGAAGGGACGGCTGGCCATCTGCTGACGCTCCCTCATCAGTTGCTGGTGAAACAGAAAATCAAACACAGATGTCGGTTGAGCTGCGCAGTGAACATAATCAGTTTAAGTAATACCACGATCATTACTGCGATACATAAACGTTACGCAAGTGTTTTTCAGTAATATAAACAACCCCAGTGTATGTTTTTGTGCTGGACGTGGTCTCATATCAAACTGTAAACTTTACTTTGAGCAGAGTGGATGGGATTATAGTACACGTCGAGAAAAAAAAAAGATGTGTTCACGCACAGGGATATACAGCCCTGGGCTACTGCAGTGCTGAGTGAGAAATCAATAGTAAATATCACTGGAGAAACACTTAACGACTATCTATAGGCACTCCTGCACCGAAGCCTTATATCACATGTAACAATTCCAATGGATTTCAATGGGCCACATACAGCTTACAGTCATACAATATGTTGACCTTCACATACATGAGAAAACAAATCAGCCTTACACGGATTATATTCAATACAAATCACAGGTGAAAGCAGAACAATATCTGCTCAGGTAAGACCATTTTCCCAAGGAAACATACACTCGCAGGTCCTGAAACGAAATGTGCGACACTTTCATCAGCAATGCAGTGGGTGATCAATATCTAAACAGCTGGCCACTTTAAGGCCAAGGACATCACAGATTGGTATTGGATTTGTGATGATCCTAAGTGTGCGGCATTAAGATCAAACAGTGCCTCGGATTACTAAAATCATCAAGCCATGGTTATGGTAGGGAGAAATAACTTAGAAAATAACAGAGCAACCGCTCTGTACTCCCATTGATCAGCCATGAAAATATATATAATGGAAATGTTCCTTGAATTCCTTCCTTGAGTTCCTTGAATATACAGTATATATTGAATATATATATGGCATGCCGTTCAGGAAATTAATCCTTTAATATATATATATACAGAAAATCTGAATATATAAACAAAAGGTCTGAATATATATACAAAAAGTCTGAATATATATTCAAAAAGTCTGAATATACATACAAAAACTCTGAATATATATACAGGAAATTGAAACCTGTTTGACCACACTACCCCAATCGGGGCAGAGCTACGACTGCTACGTCCGGCCAGAGAAGATAACAGTCATAAGATGGTTAAGGATCTAAGCTCACTGTTGTGGGGGATTCAGAGTAATGTAATGATTGGAAATATATTATTTCTATAGTACATATATACATACACATATATATACATATATACATAATATATATACATATATACACATAAAATACATATACACATATATACATAATATATACATATATACACATAAAAGAATTTTATAAAATCAATCATTTCTTTTTTTTTTTTTTTACAGAACTTGGTTATTTAAAAAAAATATCAAATACTACATAATACTACTGTAATACTGCAATATTAATTGTTCCAAAAAGTTCTCTGTCTTTCACCAACCACAGCCTGACACGTTACCGACCAGTGTAGTGTTGTATGATAGAGAGGGAGGTGACAGGAAAGTTCACGCTGGCTCCATGTAAGCGTCACTGTTTTTGAATCATTCCCCCAGGGAGGAAAAGAAAGAACAACAGCCAGATGAAATTGAGATTGATCACTTGATTGATTTTTTTTTCCTTTTTTTCGCAGCTCAGACTTTTAAAACTTCAAATCTCAGGGCCAATATCGGATTGTTGTACACGGCTACCATTAAACATCAAAACCCAGCTACAACAAACGTACAGTTGTAAGCTGCTGGGCCACCCGAGGTCAAAGTGAGGAATGTTGCCCTTTTCTGGAAGATAAAAGCAGAATAGAAGGGCCCAGTGGGTCTGTTTAAAAAAGAAAAAAAAAAAAAAAAACAAAACAGGAAAAAAAACAAAACTCTGGGCTTATTACAGTTTTCAGCACAAAGGACTCAAATCTAACAACATACATCCCAAATGTCAGATAGCGGTAATGTTATTTATCATTTCGCCGAATTCATTTGCAGCAGAAGCAAAGGTGGGAGAGTGTGGGCTCGGTCTCAGCTCTGTGTTCGCAGCGTGCATCCGAAATGTGCTGGGAATACACTCGTCAAAAGGGCCCGGACAATACCAGAGAGAATCTGGAAATGAATACTAAGTTAATGACAAAAGGCAAGAGTGAACTCTGTAAAACCAATTAACGTTTGTGCAATGACAGACTGATTTTGTCAAGAATACAAGCTGGAGCCATTCACAGTCGCGATAAGAGTGTGCGTGCGGTGTATTGCGTTGTGACTAGATTAATTTGGCAAGTGAGTGCATGAATTATCTGTCCAATGAATACAGCATTTTGTTCCTGTCATTTCTTTCTATGAAAGGGGGGAGGGTGGTGTCAGCCCGCCTCTGAGCAACTTCTACACCTTAGGAGGTCACTTTGCCCTTTGCAAAGATCACTGGCTCTGCCTTCTGTCAGCAAGAGAAACACCAAATAAAGTGAAACCCTATGAAATGAATGGTTAAATAATGAGTAGCAAAATCTGAGATGTTAACTTTTTTGTTCGAGCGGATGTGTAAACACGGTAATGCAGGCTACGAACTTACTCTAATGCCACAAAACAAAACATATTTTTAATGTAATATATTCAATTTGTAGAAAAAAAAATCAATGCTTTTTGTTTTAGAAATTCCATTTAAACCCCTCAGGGGTCTACCGAGGGCGTCCCACTTGTAATCATTATGTGTAACTTTTAAAGAACCGCCAACTTTTAAACGCACCAGGGACAATCAAGGTGAGCAGGGGCTTAGGAGTGGGATAATCGTATTATAACAATCAATGAACACTGATTGAGCTCTTGAAAAAAGACGGAGGGAGACCACCGCTTGGGGACATTTGGTCAGAAATGTGCGAGTTTAAATTTGGTCAGAGCAGCTTTAGAAAACGGCTGGCATTTAAGGTGTCTTCGATGATGAGATTTGGAAGAAAGATGGTTATTACAAATAAAATCGGTTTTGAGCTTTTTTTTATAAAACGTTAAGTCTGGGTCAATAACATAATTTAATCGCTTTAATCGCTAACTTTTAATTTCGGTATTTGCTACAGACTCATTACCCGCTTCGTTTACATCCAGAAGGGGAATGGAGTGCGTGCTAACGTGCGATTGTGGAAGAATGTCGGTTTTTTTCATTGCAATGACGATACTTGTTGACGATATTTACAGCTAATGCGAGAGCGCTAGTAAAACAACGGGCCGCTGCACAAAGGCAAACGTGCATTGTGCAGCGAGAGGTGTGTCTGCTCGTGTTCGCATCAGTGTGTAAAAGAGAGATAAAGAGGGAAGAAGATCCGTCCTTTTCGTCCGTGTGTAAAACGGCCCTTTGTTGCGGCGGTGTGAAATGTCAGCTACCCCCTCCTACCCCGCTCCCCCCACACATGTATTTCAAAGAGGTCAGACTCTGTCCTCCGCCCCGACATTTACAGCTGTTGTCTTTTCATCCCAACGTCCACCAGTTCCTCGTCAAATGTTCTTGGCAAAGATGATTGCAACTTCTGCGTCATTTCCACTTCCAAAAGGAAACGTTTTTATCTCATAGGCACATAAGGAATGAGATTAAGGCAGGAAATGCTTCGCTTTACTTCAGCTAAACTTCTCCTAAAAATGCTGGTTTAAAAAAAAAATTAAAATGAACCCAACCATCTTCACGTACAAATCTGCATATGCCACCGGGCTGGCTCAGTGTGCCGTGATTATGGACCTCATTACGTCCCATTCATTCGGTCCGTGTCCTTATGTCAGATGGGACTTACGCGCATTAGATGGATCCCAGCCTAAATCCATCTATTGCCCATTTCAGACAAGTGTTATAAGTGCATGGGCTCTTGACACCCACTTTTAATTTAAACGGACACAGTGCGCAGTGACGACCCGATTAGCTCACAGACGAGAAATGACGCATTTGTCTTACACTTGGCGCCAGCTCGACAAAATTGAATAATTGCATGTTCCACTTTCATAAATGTCCTGATACAATTATTTAAATATAGAGTATTTTTAATGTCTAAAAAAGACATATTTGAGAGGCCACTCGATTTCTTTTCTATATGTTTTTCTAGCTAAAGCAGGCGGAGGAGGAAGTTCATGGGTGGAAAAGTTCCCAAATTTAGAGCCGTCCCTTAAAACAATGTCTCTGTATGTAAATCCTGAACGGGTCTATATGAAAACACAGAGGCATTAAGACTCTAGTGAAATAGAAGATGTGGATACGATGGCAAAGTAGCATCATATTTCATACATAAACTTGATTTTAAATCAATATTTTACTGCAAAAATAAAATACTGCATACTTATGTTGGTATTATTATTTATCTGTGCATTCCTTCTTCTTCCGGCTGTTCCCTTCAGGGGTCATCACCACCTTCCTCCATCTCACCCCATCCCCTGCTTCTTCTCTGAAACTCTTAAGTTTCGGTGCGTAACTACTGGTTTTCTCAACTGAAAAGCTGCTTCAAGCGCTGGAGTGCACACTTCAATCTACGTCACTCTTGACACTTGACTTTGTGTGAAAACTTCACTTCACAGCTTTTTAGCTCCTATAATGTAGGACACTTGGAATTCCAGCAGCAGTAGCTCTAATGGGGTTTCTTTTTCCATTAAGGAGCGTAAACAAAACAAATGTTCAAAAAGAATGGCGCAACAGGTTTTTTTTACGATTGAGAAGGGTGAGAATAAAAAAAACAAAAAAAAAAAAAAACCAAAGGTCATGTGAGATGTCAGTGTGGACGATGAATCATCATTTATGTACTATCTGCACATAAAAAGTACGATGGAGTATTATGAGCTTTAAGGCGTAAATTTGTGAGAATAAAATCAGAATGCTGCAGACAAAAAAGGGGCATACAAATTTGAGAAAAAAATTGCAAAATTATAACAAAAAGTCATGATTTTACAAGAAAAAAACTCTTAGGTTTAGTAGGAAAAACGTGTTAATTTATGCACGTGTCTGGGTCAGAAATAAGGAGATGCTTCATCTTATGGCTCATCAGCCTCACCTCATAATAAACAGCAGGACACTGAAAAGATATTCTGAACTGATGAAAGAATCCCACTGACCTGGGTGAGGTTCGCGATCGTACGAAAACGCTAACTTCTGTTATCACCGGGATAAACAGCATTTATTAGACTAGTGGTTTAGCTAGTCTAATAAATGTGAGCCCATCTGTCTACATTCATTTTTATTGCCTTTAATTCTTTGGTTCGCCACGAGTTGAACTGACTTTTTTTTTTTTTAAATCATTCTTTTTTATTTTTAGTTGATGTTCATGTGTCAAGTAAAAGAACATAAAATTCCTGATCCAGTGATTACGGATGTCGTCCCCGAAGGGGAAATGAATGCTGGGAGCTTTATTAGCAAACTGCGGGTCATTAGACTGGATGCTTCCAGCCCTGAGGTTATCATGACAGAATGGGGGATTGACTGTAAATGGAGAATAATTAACTGCTCCTAGAATAACTACCGACCATTAGAGGTGGGGGGTTTAGGTGTCGGGAGGTGAATTTGCAAACACTTTTCCACTTTCTCAAATTTTGTTTTTTTTTTTTTTGCACAACTTCTTCTTCTCATCATTCCCCGTTTCTTCTTCCTCTCTCCACAGCTCCAGCTGACACATCACTGAATACACCATCACAGTAACTCCGCTGGCTTTCACCACGCATTTTCAAATGCATCGAAATAAAGACATAGTCTCATTTGCCTGGAGACACATACTTCCTTACTAGTCTCATTTGCCTGGAGACACATACTTACTCGGAAATATGTGTCGTAGTGAATTCGAAATTGGAAACTCAACAATTTTTTTCAACTGAAAAATATATTTTTCGACAGCTTTCTAAAATACTGACATGTACAAAAAGTATGGTAAATAGTCAACCGCATAAACTTCCATCAGAATGAACTGATAGAATCACTGCATAACATCCGGTGCGACAGAATTCAGAAGCGTTCAAATCTCTTAGTGCCTCAAAGATGTTTTTCTTCTACTCTCACAGCTTATAGAAAGTGTTTTCTCCCTAAACCTTATATGGAATATATTTGCAAAATGATGACTGCAGTTCTTATACAAGGCCAAATTTGCTAATGTTGTGAGCACTGGAGCTGTCAATCAAAAGCAGAGTGGGTTTTGATTATTTATGTCTCGGCTCCGTCCAGAAACACACCTGAGACAATGACAGAAATTTGAAATCTCATTTCAAACATACTGTTACGACGTGCGTTCACCAGCCGAACGCTCAGTGGAGAACATGACATCACACATTAGACCGAATCGCGCAACGTCTCCTATGCAACTCCCTCGTACTTGCAGGATGAATGATGAGTACATTTAGAAACAAGTGAAGTGTCTGTGGCCTTTTGACAGCGGAACACAACCAAAATGGACTTACTTCTCTCCGCCGTGAAGCCCAGCAGGTCTGTTTTATCTTCCACACAACGGCGGCCACGAGAAGCAGCGACAGAAAACAGCTGAAAGAAAAAAAAAATGAGAAAAAAAAAAACAAAACAGGAATTTAAAGGTTTTGTAAATTTACCATTGCACGAACCAGGAATAAAAATTGAAAAAAAAAAAAAAATTTTAATGAATCAACCAATCACACATTTTAAAAAAAAAGATAAAAATCATAAAATAAATAACTGCAAATCTACAGAGACCTAAAGAATAAAATTATATCAAATTATTTTTTGTAGACAACATGCATTGAAAGCATCAAAAACACAATCGTTTTGCTCATCGCGTGTTTTTTCTTTAATTTTCTCACTGAATCTAAAATACAAATCATAAGATGTTAGTATGATATTAAACTATTTTCAAAAAAATCAACTACACCCATGAGGATGTAGAACACTGGTGATGGGAGACTACATATTTTGGCTGATTACTTCAATTAATAACCCAACAGTGACATCATTAGTCAAAGGAAAAACATGACAGATTGGGAGCTTCCACTTCATTATCCCGCTGATAGACAGTGCTGTAAAGATGCTGATTTGCTCAGAACTAAAAGCTGGTCCGAGCAGCACAGTGGACTCATTCATAAATGATCAGGTTATTTTAGACGGCTGTTTTTTCTCTCTGCATCAGGCAGGTATCTCCAAAGTTCAACTTCCACAGAAAAGGATATCACTTTTACTCTGACAGTGGAAGTTCATTCCAATTCATTTTCTCAAATGCCTCATGGGGATACATTTATATTTCTGAGTCTGAAAAGAAAAATAATTTTATGTCAAAAATGTAATGACAGCAGAATGTGGATCTTTGATTCAAAAGGAGGAGATGTGACCGTGCGTCTGAGGCCGGTAGGAATAATTTTGACTGGACCTGAAATGCACACGGTAATATGACCCATGAGCCCTGGTCTTTAGGGACCGGCCGGGATCTAAAACGGGAAGTGGGGTCTTAGAAGCGCATATCACCAGAGACACACGACGGGCTCTGCTTTCATGGGACAATTTTGTTTTAGATTTCAGTTTCCCTCCCCGCACCTACTCCGATTGTGATCTTTGAAGGCGGCGATAAGGCCTGTGGGAAAAAACAGCTTCTCTTTTTCAAGCTGAGAGGAGGCGGCAGGGTGAAAAGACTTTCAGAAAGGGAATTGGATAAAAAAAAGTTTTGAGTGACGGGAAAGTTTGGATACCCCATCACCTGACTGGACAGAAAAGTCTCTAACACCTCGAGACATAACAGTTACAAACTGAGGATGGCATTTCACTGATGTGTGTTTACTTTTACATTATTTATAATAAATTGTTGCAGCTCTTGCCTGCAGCAAAAAGGTCACAGGTATGACCCCCGGTTTGTCCGTCATGAGTTTGATGTGTTTTTCTGGACAAAGGCCTTGGGGGCTGGACACTCAAAAAAAAAAAAATGAAATAGGTAGAAGAAGAAACAAGCTGTCACTTGTCACAGCAGTATCTTGATTCCAGCTGTCAATCAAGATGCGCCAGTTCAGATATTTGTATATGCTTCATTTTATTTGAAAAAATAAAATTTTGCGTGCGGGGCTTTGGCCCTGAGGCAATGTCCCTGTCATTGGTGTGGAACCCAAGGGTTCACCTCCTGGGCAAGAGGGCGGTTGGCGCCTTCTAGTGGACTCACCACCCGCAGGAAAGATCAGCGGGGTTGGTACGGTGCAGCGTGATTTGGGTGGCGGTCGTGGAGACCAACCGGTAACGGATAATCAAAATGGATGGTTGGATGTAAAATCTTTCGTTGAATTTTTTTTTTCTTCTAAATTACAAAACATTTCAGGCGACTCCATTCTAATTCCTAGCAATCCCATTCGGGGTTGCAACCCCAAGGTTGAGAAACACCACACACACTCGCATGTGCAGTCGCAGTATTGAAGCCAACTGTTCTCATTAGTATAATCCAGACCCTGTGGTCCCTTTCTCTGTGTCTGCGTAGAAGAGCGCGCTGTTTACGTTTCCGAAACATCCAATCAAAAGGAATGAATGCTCATCATCTAAGATGAGTATCTCGCAGGCATCACTGGGTAAATTAATATGTATGTTGATGAAGTCGGGGGGAAAAACGAGGAGGCGGCGAAGTAAACAAATGTCTCGGAGGCTTTTGAGAGACGGGTGATGTCATATTTCAATAAAGTCGGTGAGGTTTTTTTCCCTCATTCGTATGCCGTCACTTCTTACACGAGAAGAGAAACCCTGTGGGGTGAGTTGACATTTTATCATCAGGCTGATTATGTTTCCCGCAGGTTCATCTCTTACACGCAGACACACCCTTGACACATGGCTTGTGAATGCGAGGCCACCGCCTCTTTCCTAGTTTTACGGGTCAGTGCGACTGGACAATGACGAAAGACAAAGACTTTGAGGAAATCTCTACAGCCTGCATCACAAAGACGAAAACACAATGACTGATAGGAAGGGAAAACGAAAAATGGAAATATGTGGCCGTTATCTAAAAGGAACAAAATATATTTTAATAAAGCATTAAAAATAAATCTAAATTAAACAAATACATGTTGTGAAAAAAAGTTAACTTTCTAGAGGAAAATAAAAGTGTCTGACTTCTTAAGCTAAACACACTGGTTGCACAAACGCCAGATGCGAGCAAATGTCAAATGCATTTGAGATAAAGTAACCTTTGTCCTTCGTTCCTTCCCCTCCAAGAATTCCAGGGTTTTGACTGCCTAACAGTAATATGATCAGATAGCAGCAGCAGATAACCCATGCTGAAACGGCTCTTTGGCAAAGTTATTGTGGATTGGCCAATGATGGGCAGGTGCCTCAGGCAAAGACAGTCTTCAATTCCTTCCCTGACACCGACACAGAAAATACATTTGTCCATCAGCCGCTCTGAGCAGCGCACCTTAGAATGACAGGAAATGGGCTCGGACACATACAAATTCACACAGCATCGGAGTTTACTCCACGATGAGGCGGTTTGGTATGAAATAACAATTTGCCGCTGTGCAATCTAAGATTTGGAGAATTGAAGAAGTGGAAAACGTATTATTTTTGCGTGTGTAGTCGTCAGCCTTTGTTACAGCGGATCACAAAAATATGAGTGGGGGGCCCAGTCCCCTGCACGTTCTGCAATTTGACAGGTGCCCATTGAATAATAGAAAGTGAATAAGAAAAGCCATGCCTCTTGTAAGGCTGCACTTACATGTCAAAGGAGTGGTTGTCTATCACTGCGGACTTTGTAGATTGAGTTACTATTGTTGGAAACGCTACTGTAATGTGGTGTCTGCACTCTAACCAACAAAGTCAGTAACCTGCTGGCGGCTTTAGCTACGGCAGCTAACGGCACGATTTTGCTCGTTTTGATCTCTAGTAGTCGCACTGTAAAAAACGTTGCTATCTAACCCTAACTCTGTGTACCATTCTTTTTATACCTCTCTCTGTCACTTTAAAACTAACCCGTAATTTACATACGATTCTGCAGTTTCGAGTTCCTAAGATAGCTCTAAGACGTGCTCCAACGTTAAAAAACAAAAATATTCTCAACACTGCCATTAGGATAAAAACATTGTTAACATTTAAAGGGCAACGGAAAATTGCTGCCTTAGAGACAGAAGCAGCATTTTTATGAACACTGGTTAACACTGCATAACTGGTTTAACAAGCTCAGGTAACTCAATACCAGAGACAGGAGTGGGGGGCTCAAGTTTTGGGTTGTGAATCTATCACAATACAACTGTTGGGGAAAGAGCTGAGACAAATGGCTTGTGTGTGTGTGTGTGTGTGCTTTTATTTCACGCACTTACCTGAAAAAAGTTACAAAGAACTGGACGAGGTCCATAATACTGTTGTGTTGGGAGAAGGCGATCTGAGAAAACGAGAGGGGAGGAGAGGAAAAGAGAATGAGAAAAAGTGAGGTGAGGTGTGGAGAAAAAAAGAAAGGACAAACAAGAAAAAGAAACACTGGTTATTAAATGATGAGGCAAATGTAACATTTCGCATTCAACAAGTCAAATATGTAATAAAATAAATAATTCAATTCATGTTTATTTTATATTACGGTATTTCTAAAAGGGCAGATTACCTGTTCATTTTTAACATCAGGAGCCCACAACTCCCCTGAAATGTCTAGCAAGTGATTTAAAAAAAAAAAAAAAAAGAAATACTGAACTACACTAAAGCACTGTGGTCAGTTTAGGACGCTGCAGTCGTTCTTTTTTCATAATATCATTATCTGAGAGGTTTCTTTGTGATTAATTTTCAGCTTTGTCCATTTGATCATGTAAAATAAAATGTCTAATTCTAAAAAGAAAAAAAAAATGTCTCTGCGGTTGCCAGAAATGTGTGATGTCAAAATGGGTCAAATAGGGTTGGGAACCACAGCTTTAGGCCTTCAAGTCATTACAGGTGAAGTGAGGTACAGCTGAATATGCAAGACCATCACGCAGGTAATAATTTAGCAGCATGGAACTACTCATCTGTCGTCTTGAGATGGATTCAAACACAGTATAAAAATCAGTTTTTTGGTCAGTTGAGTTAGGGCTACTGGAACCAAAGGTGAACAGAACAGAGCAACCTCTCTGCAGAGACCTGAAATAACTTGGAGATATGATTTGCGATTATCCGTTTCAGACGGGTTCATAATCGGATTCAAAGTCTCTGACGGACGATCAATACTGATTCCATTCACAAACTTTTACCCTGTGATTTTAATCAAAGGACAGATGAGGACTCAGTGATCTGTACCTGAATGTTCACTGACACGGCTAACTCGAGTCCAAAGCACACATAATGTGTCTATTAATTCGGAGCAGGGTCTTTTGTTAAGCACCCATAATCCCTCTCTTCACCTCTGATGGGGTCAAAGCCATACACGTATACTGTATGTTCTTCAATTATCAGCCTTCACTACTAGAAAAAGTATTCAATTCTTCTGAGACATGGACTGCAGACCAAAGACATCTCCAAAACATAATAAGAGAAGCGATTTCTAGACATTTCAGACGACGCTATATGAATTCCAGGCGAACCCGCGTGGGTTCACGACCCCAAGGTCGAGAAACACCAAAGATAAATATTCAAATAATTTACTGCTACAATCTTTATATCTGAAAACAAAAACTCCAAATGTAAATGCCGCACGTTTTTTCCCGTTTGGCATTTCAGAACATCTGTGGACGCCAACTGCGGTGACGTCCAGTGATTGTTCTCCGTCTCTGAATATTCCGGATGCTGAAAGCAGTCTCAGATTCTGGTTTATCTCATCCGTGTCAACACTCACCTCCCTGGGTCATAAAGGCAAGCAGGGAAACAGAGATCTTATCCCGTTATAGACGCTATTGGCTTTAACGACCCGAGCCAGTCCACAATAAACAAGTGACTGCTGGCCAGGAAATCTAATAGAAAACTATTACTGGGGCACCTCCACAGATGGACCGACCCCAAAGACATTATCAGCCCACCATGGTCCAGGCATCCACCATATGAGAGGAAGGAACAGAACAAATATAAAAATCAATAAATGGGGAAGGACTAATTACCAAAAAGGATATGGTGTGTTATTACTACCGATGATAACTGCATCTATCATATTACTCATATTTGCCATCTGCTGAGTTGGGCGTTTTTGAAAAAACAACATTGTGACAATTATATAAAAGAGAGTTTTTCTTTTTCTTTTTTGTCCTCCAACAGATCTGAGTCAGTAAATCCTTAATTGAAAGCAAAATAAAAACATGAAAACATTTATATTTATAGGAATCTCATAACTAAAAATCAAACTGCTATTTCTGGTACATTACATTTTTAAATCAGGGGTCACCAAATGTGTTGTCAGAGGGCCAGACAACTTAGGGGCCGGACACTAAAATTTACAATAAAATAAAAATATTTTTCTAAACCTGTCGTGGGCCGGATTGGAGGGTTGCCGACAACTGATAATTGCTGGTGTACATGGTCGTTTGTCTCTACATGTCTTTGTCTCTTTGGATTGACTGTTGAAGATCACTGCTTTAGATATCGTGTTGTTATTCCTATAACTATAACTACGTATGTCTTTAACACATAAACAAAAAAGTGATTTTTGTATTAGCATGTGCATGAATTTGTAACAATAACTGGGGTCCATACATATAAATATACTTGGAATATATACTGAAAAAGTACATAGGAGAGTCAATATTCTCTGCACTTTATTATCCCTATTATTATTCATTATTGAGTAGTTAACTTTCAAACGGCAATAAAGAAAAACCTAAATCTGACATTTAGTCATCCAGTTACATTTTATATATTTCTCCAAGAAACTTTCATGAGCCTCTACCTATTTAATAAACCCTGTGACGACCGAACTAAGTTACATGAAACATTTACCTGCAAAACTCAATTTATTCATTTATTTTTTAGTGTTTAATTTTTTACCTGACAAAAACTAAATCATCTCTGCTCAGAGGAGGCAGAAAAGGTTCAACTGTGCTGTAATTGGGCCTCTACATCCCCCATTGAACCTGTAATTGAAATAAAGTGCACTTCAAATCACCCTGAGCAACAGCAGAGCTCCGGTGTCGCCGCACTCTCCAGGTACTGTTTAAAACTGGGACTTTCTTTTTCCAGTAACTGGAGATGTGTAACATCCTGTCACCGGCTCTTTTTTTTTTTTTTTTTTTACTCACCTGGATTTTGATGGGCCATGAGAAGTTACTGACGTAGACATAAAAGGTGATGTTGGGGTTGCTTCTGAAGGTGAATTTCTCACAGGAGAAACTGTCTCGGTATTCCTTGATGTTAGTTTTGGACACGATGGGCACCTCCTCCCCGGATATGGTTCCAGCTGTCGGGGCAGAGAGTTCAGGTTCAAAACACTGGCGTCTGGTGCTGGCAGAGCTCAACTACTGTAAACGGCGAATGGATATGACGCTGCACTGGCTGCAACGTATCATTAGAAATCCATTAATGGGTTCATCAAGAGCTCGGAGACAACAGGAAAGCTCTCACGGCCAATTATCGTTACGTCTGGAATGCATTAAATGCATTCGATTTGAATTCAAACAGGCCGGTTTTATTGTGTAATTATAGCTGCTGTCCGTTACAGTTAAATTGACATGGATGTGGGGGGGAAGAGTGCGGCTGGAAAAGGGGGACCGAAACGAAACGCCGCTGTCCACAGGTCAGAACTGAGTCACCACCACACAGCGCTCATTTGCATCCCTGTCGCTAGCGTTCACTAACGCACTTAGCAAACTCGACACCTAGGAATTTGTATTCGACGTCCTCCGGGCAAACAGAGACTGTTCGGGGGGGTAGTAAACTGCAAAGATCAGCTCTTTATTATAGTACTTATAAATTCGTGTCCATCTAATTATCTCAAGTATTCCTAAGTGTGCGCCATTTAAATTCTTGTTGGATAGTACAAAAGCAAAATACTAGGGACAAGGTCTGCAAAACTTTCAAGGATCTTTATCAGGAGGAGCCTCAAAGCTCCAAAACATCACAGGTTATAAAATCGTTTGAAAAGAGCTTTAAGCTGTGAAAATCTTATCTTGCTTTTTTTTTTTTGCTTTTTTTTTCTTTGCTGATCGTGAGATTTCGGCGATCCTGTGCTGCCTCCTTAACGTTTAAGAGTTGTGTGTACTCTTTCTATTTTTGTTATAACATCAGAACAGCAGTCAGAGATTGCAAATAACACAGGATAAAGTTTTATATATAATAAATTTAAAAAAAAAAATCAATAAAGATTTCAAAATGGAGAGGAAACCATGGGATCATTTAAGAAATAATAATTAACATTTTCTGAATGTGTAAATGATTTAGATCATTCATTTCCGTCCTCATCACGTCAGTAGCTCCTCAACATTGACATTCCTCGCCACGACTCTGAAACAAAAGTAGTGAAAATGACAGCTCGAGCGCGGCTACGTGTGCACGTTTATCTTAATTGAAATCACCCGCACCCCCACCCGAAGGCGCTCGGCGCTCTTGTCAATTGTGGAGAGGCTCCGGCTCCTTCAGAGACACAATATCTTTGCTGGTAAAAGGGAGCAAACTTCAAATATTAATGACGTCGCTCGGCAAAGGTTAAGGTGGCGGAGAGGCGCAGAAGAGGTTAAAGCATTTTAACGCGGGGAAAATGTCAAGAGTGGAGGAGACGGAGAAAGTGGCAGATGACTTAAGAGGAAGGGAGGGCATGTCATAAACAGTGGCACCGGACCGCTGCAATGTCCTTGGGTGTCTCTTCTCAGGGGACCAATAATAAGCACTCAACAGTGACACAGCACTAACTTCCAAGAGAGAGGGCGCATTGTTGTATCTGCTCCAATTGCTTCTGAGATGTTTCGTTACATTTCACCAATGTGGAAACATTGCCAATTCTGATGTTTGTTTGTTTTAAAAGCCTGCATGAGGATTATGTGTGATTCGGAAAATGCTTTCACAAGGTGGCGCTTAAAATTTCAACTCCGTCTCGGAGATAAAAAAGAAACAGAACATCCAGTCTAGTGGTCTGTACAAATCACCTTGGCGTGGACGGAAATGACCTCTCAATGATGCTCTTACCAGATTGCAGGCACATTAATGTGGGAGTGGCCGCAGGAGACTTGAAAAAGGGTCTGGACGCGATGAGATTTTATAAACTGGCTTTGTGACTTAACATTGTTTAAAAGTCTTGAGATTTCATCTCTTTGTCAGATTGTTTAAAAGTCTTGAGATTTCATCTATTTGTCGGGAACAAAATGAAAAAACCAATAGAGGGAGAGGCTAAAAACACAGGGGTCTGCCATACTCAGCACCTATAAAACTACAGACTGTAATCAACATAAGGATCATGTTAGCAGATGGTCTGCGCACAGCAAGTTCGTTGGGACAAAGCGCTAAAAGATGGTACCTGTTGATCCCACGGACCAGGTGATGTTGAGGTTGAAGTTGTTTGACGCGTTGATGGACATGTCCAAGTTCTTGTTTGCCTTGGGAAAATGAACATGAAAATGCTTCAATAAGATTAAAAAAAAATTACAAAAAATATACACATCATTGTCAAAAGAAAGATGTGCAATAAGGGCAGGGACACATCATTGTCAAAAGAAAGATGTGCAACAAGGGGATACTTTTCACTAGAACAGAACTTTGACTTTTTTTAATTTTTTTCAGTCAAGGATTCAAAGATAAACAATAGTTGTATTGTTATTTTATTCATTGAAAAAAGATTGTTAAAATAATAGTTTAAAATAATAGTTTAAGAGCAGTGGTTCTCTGACTTTTTCTACTATGTACCACCATGATGACCAACATTAGAATATAGCAGATTTATTCAGTTGAAAATGTAAAGATGAAAATATTAATTTTTTTACCACTAGAGAGTGCTCGCGTACCACTGGTGGTACACGTACCACAGTTTGAGAACCACTGGTTTAAGACAATGACATGGCACAAAAGTTCTCCATATGTTGCTCACTAGCGCCCCCCCACCCACCACAACATTAAGGTGTCAGATGTCACACGTGCTTTAAAATAAAACCTCATCGTTGGTTCACTTCCTGGTGTCTGGTACAAAAGTGTTGGGTTACCTGCTCAGGTGAGGCCATAAAGTTGATGGCAGTGTAGTAATTGTCATCTTCTTGGATGAGACTGAAGGTAAACTGGTAGTCAATTAGAAGATTGTCTATAAAATAAAAAAGAAAGAAAGAAAGAAAGTAAGTATGTACAAAGCCTTTCAGTGTCAACGTGGAACACACAGATCGACAGAGCTGCCAGCTGTGGTCTTTTCACTCAGGTTTATCCTGTGACAGCACAAACAAATGGTGAGGAATCAAAAGCTATTGTCGGACGGATAAAGACAAGTGAAAGGAAAATGTCTGTAATCATATCCATCGAGTGCAATCAGGGCGTACAATTTTCTCATCAAGTCGACCACATGCGGGAATACCTGACCCTGACAGCATGCTTCAAAAGGTGTGATTAAAGGGAAGGTTTTTTTTTATTATTATTATTAATTGAGAACATATCGTCACAAATTGATTTGATGTTATCTAAAACAATGCCCTCAAATCGAGGCAATGTCTAGCCAGTGTGTAAATCTATGGTTCGCAGTCTGTCTGCGTTAGTGCAACTTCAACATCTTGATAATACTATAATAAAACTCTAAAGGCAACCATTTTGAACGAAAAGTTTTGAATCACTGCTCGTCACTATTTTGCCAAGTCAAACCCCCGATTTAGTCAACTTTCTAAATGAATAGACGAGTAGGTGGAGTGATGGGAGTGAGCGAGAAGACAAGTGGGGGATTTTTTTTTTTTTTTTTTCTCTTCATTTCTTCGCCTTCCTGATTACTTCAGTCACTCGGTCCTTCTGATGCACTTGACATTTTCACATTGAGTTATTCTGTCACAGAACAAGCACCCCTGGTGCCAAAGTGCAAAAATGCACCATCTGCCCCGAGTGGAAGAGTGGAAGTGGAAATAAAGGAGTAGAGGAGAGAGAGAGAGACAGAAGAGCAGAGAATAACCAAAGGAGGTGTGTGACTGTGGGACTGTGTGAGTGTGTGAGTGTGCATTGGTTGCCCGGTGGACAGTTACTCACAGTAACAGGTTCCTCTGAGTGGATTGCCAAGGTAACGGTTCTCTGAGTCACATCTGCAGAGGGGAAAAAAAAGAGCGGAGAACTAGATGAAGGCAAGTGCTAACAGACTGAGAGCAAGAAAGCCTCTTATCAGAATGGGTTGAATCCAAGTGCCGGCGCATTAGCTCCTGCTGTTGGCTCCTCCTCAAGACTCTTACTCCTGACAAGGAGCAAATGATCAGATACTTTCTGAGTTAATTAGATGTTTTTACAAACATTTCTTTATCAAACCCACGCAGAGTTGTGCCACCGACTTTTTTTTACCTATCGCCTGATCATAAACAACTAATATAAAAACGCGCCAGAGAATTTAATTCTTGATTGCAGCACGAACCCAATCAACGGTAATCAAGAATCGCAGTAGGATTATGGGTAAAGTCAGTGGAAAAACACGCTGTGGAAAGAGTTTAAAAGTGCCCTTAAAAAAAAAAAAAACAAAGCTGGAGTTGAGGTTTAAATTTTAACTCTGACATTTAAGGATTAGGGTTTTGAAATTAAACCGTAGGTCTGTTGACACAACAAACCATTTGTATTACTTTAATAACTATTATGTTCATTTATAAGCTAGTGAGAGGTAAAGTTTTCTTAGCAACAACAAAATTTTTATTTACCCAAGGGGTAAAGTTTTCTTAGCAACAACAAAATATGTTCCCAAGATCCCATGGAAGAGGGTTAGTCTCTTCAGTCCAGGTCTATGTAAAATCAGTCTGCTCTCCATTGGAATAAAGACTGTAATTCCACATATTGACCTCTCGGCGCCATCTGTGTCATTAACATTTACCAGTGCCGGGCTGCTATTCACATGTAACTGCGGTGTGTCGTCCAATCGCATCCATCCTCCCACTCACTCACACAACATTGCCCACCCTCTTTCTGTGGGGTAAATCAACAGCCTGCGTCACAAAATGTAGTGAAAGCTTTTATCTGGGGTGACTGAGTAGACGGACGCAGGCACACTAATGAGTAACACAGACTGGTCTGTTGTTATTGGAACTCTGGGACAGAGGCTGAATCAGCTCCATGATAAATGTAGTGCATTTAATAAAGGTAATAAAAACAACACATATGTAGTGAATGTTGTTGTTGCTTTGGTGAGTGGTTAAATATTTTACAGCCCACCGCCCCTGTCATTAAACGCACCGCACAGTGGTATAAATACACAGCAATCTGAATTATCTTTTCTTAGAGATTTTTATTTCACATATGAAAGGCAGAATGAGTTTGTTAAGAATTGTTTAGATTTGTCTAAACCAGCTGTGTCAAACTCATTTCCACCAGGGGGCCACATCATCAATACAGTTCCCCTTGAAGGGCCGGTTGTAAATGTTAGACCTTATAGATACAGTTCCCCTTGAAGGGCCGATTGTTGTAAATGTTAGACCTTATAGATAGGTTTTTTGGTCCAAAAAATGTACTTAATTTTTACAAATTTACTTCATTCAAAGAAAATCCAGTCAAATCCATTCACTGTCTTTATTTAAAGATAATCTGGTAACAACCGGTAACAGGTGGTACTGGCTGAAAAAAGGTCGGGGACCGCTGGTATAGATGTTACTACTCAATTACAGACTAATACATGTATCTGCAATTGATTATTATTTATTCAAGCTGTAAATATTGTTCATTGTTGTGTAATTAAACAAAACCTTTTAATTTCTCAGGTTAGGAAACTCTGCTGCATCAACTTTACTGAATGTTTTTAAGCTCCCGTGGGCCACACAAAACTGCTTGGTGGGCCGCATTTGGCCCCCGGGCCTTGAGTTTGACACATACGGTCTAAACCATCTGATAAAGCAAAAAAAAAAAAGTTTGCACCCCCTTAGTTCTAAAGTATCTAAAACAAACAGTCACTAAGAATTCAGGGACGGGTTTGAAAATGCCACTGAAATTTTAAACCTTAGATATCTATCAATAACGCACTCACACAGGCCACCAATTAAAAGTGCAAATGAGTCAGAATCTCCGAGGCGGCGGTGCCAAGTCAGAGAGGACGCGCAGCAGCCAGACAGAGACACGTATGCCACTGAGGAGGCGGTGGCTGTTAGTGATGTTACAGTGAGTGATGTTGCGGTGATGCGGCGCGGGGATGATTTTTGAATCTAAAATTGGATACCAGAGACAGATGGTATCATCGCTGAAGGTAGCGCGCAAACAAACAAATAAAGTCCATCTGAGGCACGGGGAAAGGGAAGGGAAGAATGCACAGCGTGTTGCGACACATTTAACATGATGGAGATATTGCACGTTTGAACAGATTAAAGGGCAGTTTTACAGTTTAATCAGAGGTCAGTTGTTTTCTTTTACCACTTTAAGCCTTAAAACTCCCCCCCCCAAAAAAAATACATGAAACACTTTCTTTTACCAGCCACAGGAAATGATACAATTTTATTTTTCCGACGGCTACGCCGTGCGTAACATTGTGTGGTGTGCGCCACTTGGCATCACAAATCAACACAAAACACAAAACACACACCTCTACACACTAATAATAAAGTGTATAATGCAACTCCTCTATACCGTATCTCTATATCATCTACACCTACATGCACGTGCGCGCCCATCCTGAACTCCAGGCAATACTCCTGTGCTGTATCTTAATTTGATCTACACTCAACTTGAACCTCCGTCTCTGGCCCAAGTGCACAGCGCTCTCTGTGATTTAACAGGCGTGATGCGCGCGCGCACACACACACGCACGTACCCAGGAGTTGGCCATGTTTGCCCTTCACTGCACGTGAACGCACGCGTGGAGCCAATCGGCACTACCTTTACCGCGACGGAGGACCGACGAACCTCTCGTGTGTGTGTGTGTGTAAATGAGCACTATAATAAGAAATACTCCCTTCACTGTTCGTTTAACTCGTCATTGTAACACAGCACGGTCCTCGACAAATGTTTTTCCCCAAACAATTCTTTTCTGCGCTGACGCATATTTACTTCATTACCGCAGCTATTATTTGGAGGTTTTAATGGCATCTGCACGTGTTTCTGGCGCTGGGAGGGGGGGGGGGGGGGGGGGGGGGCTAAGTGTGTGTGTGTGTTTGTGTAGGGCTGAGAAGACAGAGTATCCTTGTACAGAGGTCTTTGTTTAAAGGCTGGGGATGTTTGGAGTGAGTGGATGACAGTGGCACAGACATTGATTAAATGTAATGAGATACCAGAAATTGCATTACAAAAAGAGAGGGTAAACAACCCACCCTGACTCTGCAGTAGGTGTTCCTGACAATCACATTAGAAAAACTGGATACTTGATTAGAGCGACACATTTGTATGTTAAGGTACATTGTGATTTTAAGATAAAAAAAAAAAAAATACCCCTGCTTCAAAGGAGCCACAAATCTAATTAGCTCTCTGTAAAAATGAGATTAAATTAACGACATTTTCTGGTCTGCCTCGAGCTCCGGGCTAAATTTTAAGGTGATGATCACTAATGGGTTGCGCAATGTTTTCCTTAAAGCTGGCTCCAGAGCCGTACGGGCACAGCCTCTTTCTCGGTGCCAGCTGATGATTGGTTCGCTGGTGTTTGGCCTGCTGAGATGCCCCAGTCTGGTTTTGTAGGGTGGAAAATGAGTCGCTACAAATAAAACTGTTAGCCACCTGCTACATGGATGTTGTTCAGCGTTGCACTCGGTTGCGTTCCATCTGGCAGAAATTTATATCAGGTTGTGTTTTCGGTGTCAAGTGTGTTGTTTTTTTTTTGGGTTTTTTTTTTTCGTATTCAACAGGGGGAACGGGGACCCCGAGTAGATCATAAGACTTCAATTGAATTCACATGGCCTCTATTACTGTTGTTGTACGTTGTTAAAATATCAACAAGGATGCAGTCTAGTTTAGAAAAGGCACATCAATTAGGGTAACTAATTTTTCTTAGTTGGATGTTCCCAAGTGCCCAAGACCCAATCCCATGACTGGTACCTGTCCATGGGTCATGGGTAATTTTTTTATTTAAAGATAATCTACCAATATTTCAAAATAGAACTTCAAGTAATCTTTCAGACTCCAATACTAACAGAATAGTCTGAAGGATGTTTTATTTTGAAATTTTGCCTTAGCAATCCTTCAATACCCATCATTTGTCTGATGTATAAAAAAAACTGTGTGTTGTCAAGATGACCGCCATTCATCTCTATGGAATTTTTTTCCACAGCTACCCTGCAGATAAATGTGACTAAAGATTTGAATCTGACATTTCTGTCATTTAACAGACATGAACCCCTTTTTTTTTTGACCCAGCGCTCAACACAAACATCTACTTTTAGCCGTACATTTATTCCTGCAGAAGGACTTTCAATGGACCCGGTCTCTCAGAGAGCCCGTGCGTGCTCAGGTGTGTGTGTGTGTGTGTTTGGAGTACTCACAGCTGGCACTGGTCCCCTTTGATCCCCTTGGTGGTACAGAAGCACTTGCCTGTTAACACCTCGCAGACATTTGCATGACCATTACACTTGCAGGCTGGGGAAGGCAGAGAAACACAGATGGGGGAGAGGAAAAAAAAGATGGGAGATAAAAATGAACAATTTTAAAAAGGAGCAGAGGAATAAACCACCGGTTGCCGTCACGAAAAGACAACAAACACGATGGAGAACTAAAAAGCAGACAAAAATGTCATTCCTCCAGGCTGCATCGAAGCCACGGGGCTCAGGATGCCGTAAAAACACAAAAGCCATAATTCCAACAGCTTTTTTGGTTTTTTTGTTTTTTTACCAGTTAGCTTTCTACAAACTGCCCTTCTGCTTAACGGAAGTAAAATTTATATTGATCTGGGAAAGATGAGAGTGAATGAGTGTGTTTTCCCAAAAGACTGCCCTAACCGCAGAGATCTGAGTCACAGGGGTAAGAAATATGTTGCATCCATTAACGTGTCTTCAGTCACATTTGTCAAGTTGGTAAATGTGACCATTCCAGGTGGAGGGAGGGACGACTTTTAACTGGCTGCGACAGCCATTCGTCACTGTCAGTGACAAACTGATTCAATTCCAGAGGTTTTGATGAATATCCAGTCAAGTCTGTATTTGTATTTAATTCAAAGAAAGCACGTCTCTCTATTTGATGACAGGTAACGATTTTGAGACATCCATCCTACGGCTTTAAAAAAAAAAAAAATGACAAGAATATTCCTGGCACAGACACTCATCTGGGTGGTTTCACCTTACACACCACGGCCATAATCTATGCATTAGGATGCCACCTGAGAACATAAAGCTCAAGATGTGTGTGTGTATTTGACAGAGCAAACAAACAGACAGTGTGTAGAGCAATTGCCGGGGGAATGATTTTTAAAACATTACTGCGATACGTCCCAGCCTTAGCCAATAAACCGATAAAATGAAATGGACTTGTCAATTATTTCACAAATTTGCTTTAAAGCCAACAACATGTAAACAAAGCGTCCTTCATTATGTCTACAAAACACGGACACAACAACCTAAGATCCTGTCATTTTTTTTTATCTGCAGAAACCAAATCTGTTATGTCGGATGAATAAGAAGTAAATAAGTTACACAATCAAACCGATTGCATTTCAGTTCCAAAGCTGCGTCTTTGACGTGGAGCGTTTGACCTTCACATTCACCGGCAATTCCTGTAATGCACCACATGCGCTCCCGGAGGTGACAGGAACACGCAGATAATCGTGATATTACTCATGTGTTTGAGTGGCAGACGGAGAGAAGTAAAACAGCACATGCCGGACGTGCATTTTGTTTTGCAAAAAAGAAAAGAGCGAAGGAGAGAAAGAAAGAAAGAAAGAAAAAAGAAAGCAGAGCTCGACTGTGTGATTCTTCCTAGGTCTAACCAACACGCAAGAGTGCCCTCTTTTGGTTATAATGCTGAAAAACCGCAGGTTGTGTAACCGGATAATTACAATCAAGTAAGTGCATCAATCACTTCGGGGAGACTAATTATCATTTGTACACAGCGGGTTTCGTTTCAAACAGAACAAGTCATTCCAGGGCCATTTGTGTAAAATGTATATAATCAGAATAAATGGAAAAGAGCGACAGGAAAATATTATATATCTAAATGCCCTTTGAAAGTATGTTAAATCTCAGCTTTTAATTAGCAAAGGTGGAACCCTTCAAAGTCATTTAGCTGTGTTCGTGAAGATAAAGTATTGTCCCCAGCTGCTGACGCTGTACTCACCTTGACATTTGCCTCCATTGGTGGGGTTGCCATGATACCCAGGCATGCAGGTTTGGCACTGCGGCCCAGTGGTGAGGTTGCGGCACTGTTCGCACACACTGCCGTTTATGCACGTGCTGTGGCCGTTACACTGGCATGCTGCGGAAGAGGACAGAGGTCTACGGCTTACGAACACGGGTGACCCCACGGCACATGTGTCAAACTCAAGGCCCGCGGGCCCAACGTGGCGCACCACGTCATTCTGTGGCCCACCAGAGTTCATAAAATTAAATATTTATCTTAAACTCTATAGTTTTTGGACGGGCAAAACGCAGTGCAGAGCGAGTAATTCACACTTTACCAAAAACACAAATCTCCATAATGTATGATGATTTTGTGACATCCTTGGTGGTACTATAAAAAATACTGTGCTAACAAAAATAAAATTAAATATTTATCTTAAACTCTGTTGTTTCTGGATGGGCAAAACGCAGTGCAGAGCGAGCAATTCACACTTGGTGGTACTATAAGAAATACTGCGCTAACAAAGAATATTTGACATTTGAGTTTTAACTCACAAATACCATCGTCATCGCTTCAGAACTGCAATACTCTCTTGTCGTGTTTTCTCTTTCACCTTCATTTGAAAAAATATCGTCCAGTCTGTGTTTGTTTTAATTAAAATCGTTACCATGGTTTCTCTTCGCGCTGACACAGTATGAAAAGTTGATTTTCAAGTGTTTGACATGCTTTAGCTTTGGTGTTGGGGGGAAAAAAAAATAAAAGTGTAGTCAATCTATAAACTAGACCTGTAATGGAAAATAATACGAAAATAAACCCAGTTTATTTCACGCAAGGCTGCCTCATAACTGAACCGTGTTTATACTAATGTTTCCCAGCCACAGTTTCCTGTGTGGAACTCGCCGTTCATAGACTGCAATTAATTCCACCTCTGACATTAGACGCACCGTCTCGCCTCAACCCCTGATGCTCGCAGGGCAACAGCTATAATTTAGAGGAGGGACAACACACTCCTGCAATGTCACTCTAACAGTTTACACATATAAAAGGAAAAAGGCTAATATTACTTCTTTTTTTTTTTCACCTGATGGGGCAGTGCAAGATTTTAGAATTTGATAGTAAAATAAAAAAACTCATCTTAAAGAATTAGGTGCTCCTCAATATTTGTACACACGATTTAAACCACTGGCCTGGCGGGCGTCGAACAAATGATGAAATTACAAGCAGCAGTGTGCGTTTCATCGCCTCACGTGACGTGGTTATACGGGCTGAGTCTAATGACAGCACAGAGGAGCGTTAGGTTGCACCGAGTCAGCAGGGAGGGATCAGTTGCGCGCAGGAAGTGTAACAGAAACCGTTGATAAGAGCATCGTTTCAAACACGAGACATTAAAGTCAATACACACAGACGTTTACACACAGACATATTTATAACATGGAATCTTTAGCTTAAATAAGACACAGACAGGAAGTGGACTTTTACCAGGGCAGTGGATGAAGGCCCATTCGTATCCCTTGTCTTTGGGGCAAATGCCGGGATCCAGACTCATGTCCTGGGACTGGCCCTGCTGGCCCTGCTTCGTTGTTTTCTTCATTGGCCCCCGGTATGAACCCTCAATGCAAAGACCCTTCCCGGTGCTGCTGGGGTCTCCACACCAGCCGCATTCCGGTTGCTGCAAACAGTGGGCACACGTCTGCAGCCCTGAGCAATTAGGAGCTAAAAGAGAGGAGACAGAAAAAAACAAAAAAAAAACTTTGTTTTGTGTTTGAGTTCAACAATCCATGCCGCTTTATCAGCCACGGGCACTTCTTCCGTTTTCAACATTTATTTAAGAGTCACCTTGAAACCAGCATCAACAGAAAAAGATGGACTGCCGCGGCAGTCAGAGCGTGCTGCTCTCAGAGGAGCTTCCAAGCTTCCACGTAAGATTTCTAACCTTTCTTAACAAAATTCCACAAAATGTCTTCACCTGCGAGCGTTAATAATGTTTGCACTCAGACACAAATTGGTTATCTGCTCGCGAGTTGTCAGGACAACAGGTTTAGAAACATGCCGAGCATCGGCCGGCTGATGGAGCGGAGGAGAAGATGGGACATGTATCAGCAAACCGCGGGCATGTTTTCGGTTCGAGTGCAGTTCAATAAAAGAGTTCTAACTGTGATATGAGAAGTGGCACCGTGATCACAACACACAACAGCCGACAGAGTGAGAGAGCGTTGCCGTTTTGTCGATGTTGGGATGAACTCGCGGGCCACCAAATTGCTTGACAAGTTTCAGTGTTGCCTGCCAGACAGACACTTTAAGGGGAGGGAAATGTCACCACTATTTTAAGAAGACAAGACGTTGAGTGCTTTTACTTCAGTTTATGTCAGACAAATCTCCAGCTATTCCGTTAATGGATGCGAAACCATGACAACGAGAAAGCAATCAGTACAAAGTAAGGCCATTTAAGTTTGTTTTGACGACGGGACGCGAGCGGTGCGATTCTCAGGAACATACCATTCGGAGAAAATAAGTAGCTGCACGAGGACTCATCTCGCCACGACACAAAAGCACCCTGAGATGCATCATCAACACAAAGACAAAGCCCATGCGTTTTCCGACGCACTTTGACACGTAAACCTCACAGTGATCACGAACGGGTAGTTAACTGTTGTACAGGAAAGGCATCCAAAAAACAACTTCATTTCTGGCTTTGCTGTATGTCAAAAATAAGCTTTCAAGGCTTTTATTTTGCTAAGACAAACAGAAGATTTTCATTTGATAAACGTTTAAATACAAAAACAAATGCTAAAACTAGTGGCATAAAATGATCCTTAAAAAAAAGTTTGTTTCTTAGGATCATTTTATTATTTACAATTACGTTGAAACAAAAGAAAATGTAATTTAAGTTGTAAGTTAACAAGACAAAAGTGGTATTTTTTTTACGAAAAATAATAGTAGCACAAACATGCTCCTGCACGCGGCCATCCCAAGAGATAAGGTGCGATTGCTTAGCTTGACGTGACTTGATTGTCACATTTTCATAAAAGCACCTAATCAACCAATAACACGCAGCTGCTCTCATTTCTACAGCTCTCTAGGCTAAGGCTGCGGCTCGCGAGTCATTTTTGAGAATCTGTTAATCTTCCAATTATTTCTCTCACTGTATCAAATCCTTATTTTTTTCAACCAAACCACAGAAAAAATGTTTTTCAAGATAGGACAATGTAATTTCCCTGGTGCTCAAGGTGACAGGTTTACCTATTTGACTCTTTACTTATTTTGACTTCAAACACTGGAAGTGAATTTTTTCTGCCATGTGTAAAGAACAGAAGCAACATGTTTGGCCTGCAAAAAAAAAAGGAAGTGAGCAGAAACATTTTTGCCTTTAAAATATATATAGGCGAAAAAGTGGAATAAAATAAAAGGCAATGGGTAAAGAGGGCAAAAGAGGGATAAGAAAAGAGGAAAGACGTGGAGGAGAGGTGAAGAGAGAGAAGAGGAGAGGAGAGGAGATGAAAGGAAAGAAGAGGAGAGGAGAGGAGATGAAAGGAAAGAAGAGGAGAGGAGAGGAGATGAAAGGAAAGAAGAGGAGAGGAGAGGAGATGAAAGGAAAGAAGAGGAGAGGAGAGGAGATGAAAGGAAAGAAGAGGAGAGGAGAGGAGATGAAAGGAAAGAAGAGGAGAGGAGAGGAAAGGAAAGGAAAGGAAAGGAAAGAAGAGGAAAGGAAAGGAAAGGAAAGGAAAGGAAAGAAGAGGAAAGGAAAGGAAAGGAAAGGAAAGGAGAGAAGAGGAGAGGAAAGGAAAGGAGAGAAGAGGAGAGGAAAGGAAAGGAAAGGAAAGGAAAGAAGAGGAAAGGAAAGGAAAGGAAAGAAGAGGAAAGGAAAGGAAAGGAGAGTAAAACAGTGGGCCATTAGACCGGAAAGAAATCTCAGTGTAGTTTACACTGCACATAAAATAACACTCACTGTGTCAATATCTGTGGCTAAAATATCAAATTTTAATTAGATCAATTCTGTTTGTAGGAGAGACTGGAATAGAGCACCTCCTGCAGTTTGAAAGCTGTAACTGTCAGTTACACTTGGCAGAAACACTGCAGAACACAAGACAGTGGCACACTGTGCCAGGAGCTTGAGAAGAACAGACCTTGTATGTTAAAACCAAAGAACACTTCTAGGAGATTGGATAACGTCCTACTGTGTTCACAGCAAGGTATTTGTTTTGCTCTGACAGCTATTCACCCAAATCAAGCAACAGAAGAAGAAACACATGACACATGACAGCTACATTTGCCTAACTTCCTTGTTAAGCATCGCTGGTACCCGACGCTTAAAACGTTTTCACTGTGTTTACTCACGTAAACACTCCTCGCATCTAGGGAGGACATTATCGCCGAGACAAGTTTTTAATTGACTTCCCGCCAAAAGCTCGGCACTGAATCAGAATCAGAAATGCAATAAGTGGGCAGTAAAACTTTGTTCCGTCTGACTTTGCTCGGGCACGTTCAACCTCAAACAGACAAAAAAAAACAAAAAAAAAACACAGCCAGAATTTAATAGGACAACCTTTCTCTGTCCTTCATGCCAAAAGGAACAAATTCCTCATGACAAATATCCACCGAGTGCTCAAACACCATCGGCAGACAAAAGAGTGCAGGACTGTACCCTTGGGCTCCCTAAATTTGTTACTCACTAAAGTGATCAGAGATGTTTTTACGGTCTGACAAAACCACGGGTATAATTCATACGTCATGAAGCAACAACGGCATCGACCCCAGCGACTGCAGTGACCTCCAGATGAAAGGAGCTTCCTGATCCACTTACCAACGTACAG